CTATTTGATTTATACTATTATTATTAATTATGATAACTATTAAATTTGAATCTATTATTTGATGAAACTACCTCCACAAAAATTGAAAATGAAAAACAAGGCTAACAAAAAACACTGTCTTCCACCAACACCAACTTCCTATTCAAACACCCATAATAGATGCACCATCCATCTACACCAAAACAAAACACAAAATGGGTTGAAAAACATACCAAAATTATCCACATTTCACTGCATTCGGTGCTTACCTCACCAAGAAAAACACCACCACAGAACCACCAATCAACCACCACAGCACCACCGCAAGCCACCCCCCTGCACTGATAGTTCAGAGGAGGTATTTACAGAATGCAGAGAAAGGTGTAAAAGCACTCAGAGAATGAAAGAGGGAGAGCACAAGAATATGAGAGAATGAGTTAATTCTCATTAAGGAAATACTGCCTTATATAGGCAGAGTACAGAAAAGTATATATCTAAAACGACATAGTTTTGGTTTATTTACAACACTTCCCCTTAAACCAAACTATTTAAACTTCTAATGCCAATCAAATTTCTCAGTTTTTCAAATCTTCCTCGTCTCAAAGCTTTGGTAAAGATGTCCGCAGCTTGCTCTTCAGTAGGACAGAACACCAACTCCAACTTCCCTTGGTTGACACGTTCTCTTAGGTAATGAAATTTCGTTTCTATGTGTTTGCTTCTGCCGTGTGATACTGGGTTTCTTGAAAGACTAATAGTTGACTTGTTATCTACCAAGAGCTGCACTGGTTTCCTGTATTCGACCTTCAATTCTTCTAGAATGGCTTCAAGCCAAACACTTTGACACGCTGCTTCAGATGCTGCTATGTACTCTGCTTCGCAGGAAGAGAGTGCTACTACCTTTTGTTTTCTAGAACACCATGAAATTGTTGCTCCCCCATACTTGAATAGGTAACCATGTGTGCTTTTCCTTTCCACCTGATCACCACACCAGTCCGAGTCGCTCCATACCTCCAATACTCTGTCTCTGCTGCTGAATTCCTTTTGAAAGAACAAACCGAAATCTGCTGTGGCTTTCAAATACCGGAGAATGTGTTTAGCAGTGGTGAGATGAGTATGTCTTGGATCACTCATAAATCTGCTTACCAAGCCAACTGCAAAGCTTATGTCTGGTCTGCTATTACACACAAATCTTAGTGACCCAACTATCTGTTTGTAAAGAGTTGCGTCAACCTTACTTTCTTCTTCCAAACTTGACAGCTTTAGATTAGCCATAATTGGTACTTCAGTGCTGTTGCAGCTCAACATGTTAAACCTCTTCAAAATATCATTGATGTATCTTCTTTGATGAATTAGAACTCCATCTTTACTGTGCACAAACTCCAGTCCGAGAAAGTAAGTCAAGTGTCCAAGATCAGTCATATCATATTCTTCTTTCATACTACCTTTAAATTTTGCAATTTCTTCTTCGGAGCCTCCTGTTATAAGGATATCATCTACGTACAAGCATATCAACAATGTGTCTTGATGTCCAACTGATTTGACATACATTCCAAATTCCACAGGGCACTTCTGAAATCCCATCCTTATCAGCAGTGCATTTATATGATTATTCCAGGCCCGAGGTGCTTGTCTGAGACCATACAGCGCTTTATGTAAACGATATACCTTCTGCTCTTCATTTATTCTCACGAAGCCAGGTGGTTGCTTTATATAGACTTCCTCATCAAGTGGACCGTTCAAGAAGGCAGATTTTACATCCATTTGATGGATCTTCCAATCTCTCAAATTTGCTATAGCCACAATCAATCTTACCGTTTCCAAGCGTGCAACTGGTGCATAAACTTCAGTGAAATCGATTCCAGGTTTCTGCAAGAACCCCTTTGCCACCAGCCTTGCTTTCAACTTGGCTATGCTTCCGTCTGGTTTATACTTTGTTTTAAACACCCACTTGACTTCAATAGCTCTCTTGTCCTGTGGTAGTTCCATCAGCTCCCAGGTTTTATTCTTCTCTATAGATCTCAACTCATCCAGCATGGCCTCCTTCCACTTTTGCATCGTGATAGCTTGTTCCCACGTAAGTGTCTCAGCATCAGCAAGCAACGCATAATGAACAATATCACCTGAATCTGCAACTTCATTGTCTGTGAAAGTCTCATGATCTGCAAGCCTTGAAGAAGGGAATCGGGTTCTTTTTGATCGTCTGAGATTAACTTCTCTGTTGTTGACTGCCTGTTCAATCTCATCAGATCTCTTCTCTTCTGGCCAGTCAGTAACAACAGCACCAGAATTTGGTTTAAAACCAGTTTCTTCTTCAATCCATTTGAAAGTTGCAGCTTCATCTACAATTACATCTCTACTTATAACAATTTGCCTCTTTTCTGGATTATACAACCTGTACGCACCTGTAGTGTGATAGCCTACAAAAATGAGTGTTTCACTTCTGTCATCGAGCTTGGTTCTTCTTTCTGCTGGAACATGCCTGTAACACACCGAACCAAAAATCTTCAGATGGTGCACATGTGGTTTCTTTCCTGTCCAAGCCTCTTCTGGAGTGCAATCGGACAAGGCTTTAGTCGGGCTTCTATTTAGTAAGTAGACTGCAGTGGACACCGCTTCTCCCCATAGATTTCTAGGCAAGCTCTTCCCTTTAATCATGCACCTTGTCATGTCCAGTAGAGTCCTGTTTCTTCTCTCAGCAATACCATTGTGTTGGGGTGTGTAAGGGGCTATGACCTCATGAACGATTCCCTTTTCTAGACAAACTTTGTTTAGCTCACCAGAATTGAATTCACCACCACCGTCTGTCCTAAAAATTTTGATCTGCAATGCTTTTTCCCTCTCAACCATGGCACAGAAATGAAGAAAGTGTGAGTATACTTCCTTCTTTTCTTTAAGCAAATAAAGCCACATTTTCCTAGTATATTCATCAACAAAGAGTAGGAAATATTTATTACCTCCCACTGTTTGCACATCAAGAGGTCCACAGACATCAGAGTAGACGACTTCCAGAGGTTGCTTGGCTCTCTTAATCATTGATTTCTGAAACTCCTTTCGGGTTTGCTTCCCAACAACACAGCCTTCACAAATCTTGCGTGTTGCAGTGATTGTAGGAATACCTTTCACCAAATTTTTATCGCCCAACCTGCCTAGACTTTTGAAGTTTAAGTGTCCAAACCTGTAATGCCAAAGCCAATTTTCCTCTTCAACGTTCAGTGATGACAAGCATTGAATCGCAGCTGCATTTAGGTTTATTCTGAAAGTCCTGTTCTTTGCTTTAGGAGCTCTAATGACCAGACGCTTCTTCTTATCAAACACATCTATCACATTCTGATGCATCTGCATGGTGTATCCTTTCTCCAGGAGTTGACCGAGACTCAACAGATTGCTTTTCATCGTCGGGACGTACAGAACGTCGTCCATGTATGCCATTTCGCCATTCTTGCAACTGATCAGAACTCTACCGACTCCTTCAGCCATCACGGTGCTGTCGTCAGCGAATCTCACATTACTTTTCTTCTTCAGATCAAGATTTACCATCCACTCCTTTCTTCCGGTCATGTGGTTGGAGCACCCAGTGTCTAAATACCAACACGTATCGAACTCGGTGTGACTTTGAGTGCTGGACATCATTACACGTTCATCATCTATACTCTTCGTTGCACGACTCTCCTTCTCTGATGGTTGCAACACGTGTTCGGAGTAATTCAAGCATTCTTTTGCATGTTGCGTTATTTCAGATTGCAACACGTATTTTATCTCGCAATGACACCTGTCTTGCACTTCTCTGTTGTGCACTTTCCTTTCTTTAATTTGATCTGAGGCGCACATCAATACAACATGTTCTGACTCCGAATCACCAGTATCTTGTGCCAAATTCGCAGCTTCATCACTCTTGGGTTTCTTGGAGGCTGATTCGTTATGCCAGCACTCCGAGGAGTAATGCCCGAATTTGTTGCATGTGAAGCACTGTATATTTCGCTTATCGTAACTCTTTCTTCCTCGTCCTCTGAATTTTCTTCCTCGTCCTCTACCGTCTCCTTCTTTTTGATCGTTAGAATTTTCATCCTTGGACTGTTCAGAGAAGGTATTCACTCTACCTCCACTTCGGCCACCGCGAGATCTTCCCCTGCCTCTTCCACGGTTCTTGAAGTTCTGTCCACTTCTAGCCTGCAAAGCTTGATTCGTGTTCTGTACAGTGCTCTTTTCTACTGTTTTTCTTTCAATCAACCGTTGTTCGTAAGCCGTAAGTGAGTTTTGCAGTTCTTCAATCTTCAATGTCTCCAGGTCTTTACTCTCTTCAATGGCCACAACAATGTGATCATACTGAGACGTTAACGTTCTCAAAATTTTATGCACGATCTTCTTATCCTTCACAATCTTGTCACAACCCCGCATTGCATTTACCACAATCTGAATTCTCCCGATATAATCCTCAATCGTTTCTTGCTCTTCCATACTAAGAAGCTCATATTGCCTTTTTAGTGACTGTAACCTGACTTTCTTTATTTTCCCGGAATTTCCATATCCTTCTTTCAGTATGTCCCACGCTTCCTTAGCTGTGGCTGCCTTCGAAATCTTTTGGAAAATTGCCGGAGAGACGCATTGATGTATCAGCATGCGGGCTTTGCAATCAAGTTTCTTGTTTTCTTTATAGATCTTCTTCACTTCCTCTGAATCTCCTTTTGTAGGTTCTTTAAGACCTTTCTTGACAACTTCATCTACCTCTTGATAACCCAAGATGGCATCCATCTTTACACACCAATCATCGTAAAGCTTACCATCAAACACCGGTAAGGTGCCTTGTACCATTCATGCCATTGTCATTCAGAACCTTGCTTTAGTCAACGAAACAACACCAGGTGATCGGAACCTGTTGCTCCTGATACCACTGATAGTTCAGAGGAAGTATTTACAGAATGCAGAGAAAGGTGTAAAAGCACTCAGAGAATGAAAGAGGGAGAGCACAAGAATATGAGAGAATGAGTTAATTCTCATTAAGGAAATACTGCCTTATATAGGCAGAGTACAGAAAAGTATATATCTAAAACGACATAGTTTTGGTTTATTTACAACACCACCAAGGACCCGTGACGACCTCTCCCTCCGCACAACTCCGGGAACACACCACCTGCAAGAAAAGATGAGACCAAAACATATTAAAAACATAAAGAGTTGAATTTTAATCTTAATTTAATCTGTGGACTGAGGATATAATAGGAAAAGAACCGTACATACCCTCAAATTCTCTCGCCAGGATAACCATCCTCCATATCCACTTTTCTCTCCAAATTTTTCGAAAGGAACGAGGTGGTCACTCGCTCGCCTATCCGTTAGTACACGAAATAATAAGTAAAAGTGAACAGTAATAAATACCAATGAAGTATTTTTAACATTCAAAATGTAGTGTTAGTTTCTATATATTTGTGCAGATGTAGTTTGATTAAAATTAGGTGTTTTATTTACAGCCCCAACAAACAAACGAGACATTTGCAATTGGCACATCGAATAATTATTCAATCTTTACACCATTTATCTCCATGTTATTTAGCTTCGAAGGTCTCTTGTAATTCTTTAACAAGAGGGATGAGCAAACCACACTGAGAGAAGAGGCAGCCATTGCAGCTCCAGCAATCCATGGTGGTAAGCGAAATCTAGTGGATGAGTAAAGAATGCCCGCTGCAATTGGGATGGCTAAGATATTGTAACCCAAAGCCCAAAAGTAGTTTAGACGTATACGAGAGAAGGTTTTGTTTGCAAGGTCAATGGCAATGATTATATCTTCCAAGTTGCTCTTCATCAGAACGATGTCAGCTGCCTCAATTGCAATGTCTGTGCCAGCACCTATTGCCATTCCAACATCAGCTGCCACAAGTGCTGGTGAGTCGTTGATGCCATCTCCCACCATTGCCACCGTATACCCAGAAGCCTGCCCCAACTTCTCCAATTAAATAATGACATAGCATATTCATAAATTGCTGTATTATATTGTTTGATGAAAGTTATACGATGTTAGAGAGAAGTATCAAGAATTTAATTTCTATGATATCAGTGTAAAATCACACTGTCCGTTGACAAAAAATCACAGTATAAATGACATTTAAGGTGACTATTATTGAATCAATAAATTTTTAGTCCATATCAACTTGTGATTGAATAGGTGTATGATTTTTTTCACTGTTATCATGTTTCGTAACTTGATTTAACCTTAGTTATACCCTGTCAAAAAGTTGGCTAAAGGTTGTATTATCATTTAACCTTGGCTTAAATGATGTTTTGTTGTAGCGAATTTAAGTAAAGAAATTAGAAGGACCTGTAATTATGTACTGTTTGGCAGGGTTAAAGACTTATTTGGGGCAATGATTTTGTTATACCTGCAGTTCTTTTATTTTAGTTGCTTTAGTCTCTGGTTGAGCCTCTGCTATGATAGTTTCAATACCGGCTTGTCTGGCAATGGAATTGGCAGTACCCCAGTTATCACCTGTCACCATGATGCTCTTAATTTTCATGGAATTAAGAATGGAAATAACTTCATTGGCGCCAGGTTTCAATGGATCTGAGACAGCCAAAACTCCAGCGACTTCTCCATCCAAGGATACTAAAATCCCAGTTTGAGCCAGGCTTTCAGCTTCTGCTAGTATTTCTTCAGCATCTGCTGAAATGGATATGTTATGATCCAGCATCATCTTTTTATTCCCAACCAATATATCCTTGTTTAGAACAATGGCCTTTACTCCATGGCCTGAAACAGAAACAAAGTTGTGTGCTTCTGGCCAGGAATGATTTTGTTCTTCTGTGATCTTCTTGGCGTGCTCAACAATGGCCTTAGCGATTGGATGTTCGCTGTTCACCTAATAAAGATATAAATTTAAATACTATTTTAAATGTAATTTCAGATTCAAGTAGTTATGGTAAATGGAATAAGGCTTGCCTCTGCTGCAGCAGTAAATTCATAGAAATCTTTAATTGACATCTTTTTGAAGAGTTTTGTAGTTACAACCATTGGCTTCCCAACTGTGAGTGTTCCTGTCTTGTCAAACACAATGCAATTCACCTGCAATATTGCAAATTGTAATTGTGAATTTCACATCAAAGATAAACGCTACAAAACTTACTCTTTACTGAGAGACTCTTTTTGTGATTGGGTTGAACCCACATAATATCACCCTACAACAATGAGTGTACCAATAGAATTTGTCTATTGTTATTGTCAAGGCCACTACTTACTTACCTTGTGTGCACTTTCTAGTGCTTGGCCCCCTTTGATCAAAACACCTTGCGTTGCACCAACTCCAGTACCAACCATAACAGCAGTAGGAGTGGCTAGGCCTAGAGCACAAGGGCAGGCAATGACCATGACCGAAATACCAAACTGAAGTGCAAGCTCAAAGTAGTTCATGGAGGATGGTATCCAAGATTTTGGGTATGCATGTAACTTTCCTGCTAGAAACCAGGAGAGCCATGTTGAAAGAGAAAGCACAATGACCTGCAAAAAAAAAGGGAACTGGTGAGCATAGATGAATTTCCTCTGACTGAATCCATAAGTAAAACCTAAAAATAAATTAAAAATCATTAAATATAGTTAGTTCTAAGTTTACCAGAGGAACAAAATATTTAGAAATATGATCTGCAAGTTTTTGAACTGGAGCTTTAGCCATCTGAGCTGACTCAACAAGACGAACGATCTGGGAGAGAGCACTCTCGGATCCAACTCTTGTCACCTTAACATGCATAACCCCATTCTCATTCATAGTGCCTCCAATCACCATATCACCCCTCCTCTTTGCCACAGGCCTTCCCTCTCCGGTTATCATGCTCTCATTTACATGACTTTGTCCCCATATGACAAAGCCATCAGATGCTACTTTTGAACCAGGGACCACCTTGATCACATCGTCCTTTTGTATCAACCGAATATCAATTTGTTTTTCACTAACAACATCCCCCTTATCATCTTGAGTTAACAAGATCGCTGTCTCAGGTGTCAAGTTCATAAGCTTTGCAATCGCCTGAGATGTCTTCCCCTTTGCTAACACTTCTAAATACTTACCCAACAGAATAAAAGAAATAAGCATAGAGCTGGTCTCAAAGAAATCGTTTCCTTTGAAATGCCGAGAGAAAACAGATCTTTCCACAACATAGAGAGAATAGAAATATGCTGCATTTGTCCCTAATGCTATCAACACATCCATGTTAGCAGAACCCTTGCGCAACGCTTTATATGCCCCAACATAGAACCGTCTACCTATGATAAACTGCACCGGGGTAGCAAAGTCACACCTCAAGAGAAGTCCAATATTCAACATATTAACAATTTTGACATCCAAAACACGTTTAACTCCAGGTATATACATGAGGACCATGGATGTCAAGAAAACAGGAATCGTAAAAGCTAGACTCCATATGAAAAGCTTGAAGTATCGGTTAATTTCCTGTTGTCTAAGTGCTTCTCTTCCTTCATCGTTTGGAAATATCACCGCTTTAAAACACCCTGATCCAGTGGATTCTATGACTTCTATGAAGGTTCTTGGTCCTGTCATGTGTGGTATGTAAGTTATGGCAATTTTGTTAATGTCCGGATATATGTCTATGGTTTCAACACCAGGGATTGAACGGAGAGAGCGCTCAATGGCACCAAGGGATTGGTCGTTTTTAATGCCATCAATTTTAAGTTCAATCTTGCTCATGTGTTCCCCTGTGCTTATTAGTATGGCTTCGAACCCGGTGCCTTGTATAGCTTCCATTAGGTAGTTGTGGGTGAGGATTTTGGGGTCATAGTGGACTTCTGCTTCTTCTGTTGTTAAGGCCACTCGTGCCTTGTGCACCCCACGAAGGGATTGTAGAGCTGATTCGATAGTGGAGGAGCAAGAGGTACAAGTCATGCCTCGTATGTGTATGCGGCATATTTGAGTTGAGGTGTAGTTGGAGTCTTCTTCAATAACTTTGGCTTCAAATCCAGCATCTTCAATGGCCTCGCGTATCCTCTCCTCCTGCGTCAAATGTATGATTTGTGAACAGACGATGAAAGAAGAGTTTAATAATGGCCATAGCTATTCTTTTATCCATGAAAGAACAAAACAAAAATGATGAAAGACATACACCCATCTTAATAAATATCTCTTGTATTTTTTTTTTCTAAAAATATTAAGGAGTTTACTCATGAATTTATTCACCACTGAATTTTTTTAACGTGCGTTAAATTAATTTTATTTATTTAATTAGTTATTCAATAAAATGAGGCTTTATTGATTCCACCTATTATTTTAAATTTTCAACAAAATATAATATCAGATAAAATATACTTTTGGTTGTATAATTTTTTTTAAAATTCTATTTAAATTCTTCGAAAAAAAATTGTCCACTCTTAGTCTCTCTAATTTTGGAAAAAATAGTGTTTTGTAGAGGTATAAAAAGAACTTAGATGATGTTTGAATATCCAAAGTAATGCATTTTCATAGTAGAGAGATTAAGATTGAATTTTATATGTTTGAGTTAAATATGTTTTTAGTCCCTAAACTATTAGCCGTTTCTGATTTTCGTCCATCTTTCAAAGTAAGGTATAATTTGGTCCTCACTGTTTTCGAAACGTTCGTTTGAGGACTAAAACCAAAATTTCGAGGATTAAAACGAAGGTTTCAAAAAAAAATGAGGACCAAATTGTACCTTACTTTGAAAGAGGGACGAAAACCAGAAACGACCAATAGATAGTTTAGGACTAAAAACATATTTAACCCTATATGTTTTATGCAAACTAAAATTATATGTTTTATTTATTAATCACTAACAAAAGATTTTTTTTTATTCATTTGATTTGATTTCAAACAAATTGTACTAAATTAATCTTCTCTTATATATTTATTTCTTTTAATATTTTATTTGTATTTATGAGTTATAGTATAATGTATTGATATAAAATAGTGATTAAATTGGTATAAAATGGTTATTTATAATTAAATAAGAATATAAAATTGTTTTGCCATCTCGCTACATCAACAATGATAATCACTTTCAGCAGTTAAATTCCTTATATATCATGTTTATAAAATTAGATTATACTTTTAGATCGTTGGAAGAAGATCCGGTAGAAGAGATTTATGTTGAATGTGATCTACTAATGGCTACAGGAAGAAAGTGGAGCACATCATAAAAAGTGTAATATTAATACGAATCAGCCAAGGAAAATTTCGGGTCTGATGAGGTAGCAAAAAGATTGTTCTCTCTCTCTCTTTCTCTCTTTATATATATAACAAGATATGGTTTAATCGTCAACTTTTAAAGCGGAAAAAGATAGCATATACGTGCACAATGGGCAGCATATTATTAATGTAATGAACACTGTAAAAATAGTTTCACTTTGACTTTAGCTTCTGGTATAAGAATGTTTTTGGTTGATATTTCGGTTTTAATTTATTTATAAACCATAGATGATGATAATAATAATAATAATAATAATAATAATAATAATAATAATAATAATAA